GCATCAGAAGCAGCTGAAAAAGCAAAAGCAGCAGCGGAAGAAGCTGAAAAAGCAAAAGCAGCAGCGGCAGAGGCGGCAGCAAAAACAGTGGCAGCAGCTGAAGCATCTGCAAAAGCCGAAGAAGCAGCAGCAAAAGCAAAAACATTAGCAGAAACAGCTGAAACAGCAACAGAAGCAGCTGAAAAAGCAAAAGCAGCAGCGGAAGAAGCTGAAAAAGCAAAAGCAGCAGCGGCAGAGGCGGCAGCAAAAACAGTGGCAGCAGCTGAAGCAGCTGCAAAAGCCGAAGAAGCAGCAGCAAAAGCAAAAACATTAGCAGAAACAGCTGAAACAGCAACAGAAGCAGCTGAAAAAGCAAAGGCAGCAGCGGCAGACGCGGCAGCAAAAACAGCAGCAGCAGCTGAAGCAGCAGCAGAAGCAAAAACGGCAACAGCAAACGCGGCAACAGCTGCAGCAAAAGCAGAAACAGAAACAGAAAAAGCAGCAGCAGCAGCGGCAGAAGCAGCCACAAAAGCAAAAGCAGCAGAAGAAGCAACAGCAGCAAAAGATGAAGCAGCAAAAGCTGCAGCAGAAGCAAAAACAGCAGCAGAAGAAGCAGCTAAAAAAGCAGAAGCGGCAACTGAAGAAGCAAAAACAGCAAAAGCAACAGCAGCTGAAGCAGCCACAAAAGCCGCAGAAGCAGCAGCAAAAGCAAAAACATTAGCAGAAACAGCTGAAACAGCAACAGCGAAAGCAAAGGCAAAAACAGCAGCAGCAGCTGAAGCAGCAGCAGAAGCAAAAACGGCAACAGCAAACGCGGCAACAGCTGCAGCAAAAGCATAAACAGAAACAGAAAAAGCAGCAGCAGCAGCGGCAGAAGCAGCCACAAAAGCAAAAGCAGCAGCGGAAGCAGCTGAAACAGCAAAAGCAGAGGCAAAAGCAGCAGCAGCAAAGACAGCAGAGGAAGCAGCAGAAGCACTGCGAGGTACAACAGTCGGAGAAGAAGCAAAAACAGCAACACATGATCAGGATAATTCAGTCGAACACCATTCTGAAGAAAAACAAGAGCTTCTAAAAGAAGACGAACAGGAAGTACAAGAAAAAGAACAGCATGAAAAGCAGCAACACCAACAGCGTGAACATTCCGCAGGAAATGGCGAAGAATCCCCGAAAGAAAAAACTGCTAATGGTACAAATGCAACTGCAATTAAGGACGACAGTGACGGCATCACCGCGGTCCCCCACACCACCTCTCCTCTTTTGCTTCTTCTTCTTCTTGTTGTTGCGTGTGCGGCTGCGGCTGCGGTGGTGGCCGCGTGAGAGTGAGTGAGAGAGAGCGCCATGCACCGCCCGCGCACACACTCGTCCTTCTCTCTCTCTGTGTGTTTCCTTGCATGCATTCTCGCCCTCACCTCATCCCACGAAGCACACTCATAGTGTGCCCATCTTATATATGAATGCACACTCATGCAGGCCCGTTGGTGCTCTCTTTTGCACCACACGCACCGCTGCCTTCCTGCCTGGCTGCATGGGCGGAGCACCGTAACTGTTTTGTTTTTATTGCATTGAGTGGGCGACCTCCCTCTCTCTCCCTGTGTGTGTGTTTTGCTTTACGGGAGCAAAGAGAGTGTGTGCGCTGGTCGTCCCACGCTTCGGCTTTTTTTTTTATTGTTTTTTTATAAATTTAATTTTTTTATCTGTTTGCTTTAAAATTTTTTGCTACTTTTTTATTTTTTTTTTTTTTTGTTATTAGTTTGTGCGTTTTAAATCTCTAATTCCTCTTCTGTTCTGTTCTGTTTCTTTTTTTTTGCTTTTGGGGGCAATCACTATGGACGTTTTTTCTTTTCTACTCTTCCCTCTTTTAATTGTTTCTGCTGCACTCTTCCTGTGAGGGGTGCCGTGTGTTTCCCGCCCAACTGCTCCACTCGCACACCCACCGACACGCTCATGACGACGGCCCTGTGCGCCTCGCCTGCTGCACGCATGAGGAGGGGCCGCGACGAACGGCGCGCTGAGGGAGCCGTGACGTGTGGGCGTGCGACGAGGGCCTGTGGGGCGGAACACACATTTCTTTCCCTCTTGTTTTGTTTTTTTTGCGGCCAGGGCGGGCAGACACCCGCAGCGCCACACACAAAGCCACACCCTGCCGCCGTGTTTTTAAGGATTTTTTTTTTTTGCTTTGCTTTTTGTGTGCATTTCTCGCGCCGCCAGTCCCTTCGGTGTCGGCCTCGTGAGCATTTCTTTTACCTCCTGATGATTTTTTCTTTTGCTGCGCTCACTTTCCCGATGGAGAGACGCGACTGCCGTCATTTCTGCGTGCTTCTCTCAGTCCCCACTCACACACGAGTGACTGTGCTCTGCGGGCCGCACTCACGCGCCGATGAGAGGGCTGAGGGGAGCAGCAACACGCAGATGACCCCATGAAATATAAACGATGTGCGGACACATGGAGGGTCAGACGGTTGAAAGACATTTAAATATCTTTTTAATTTTCTTTTTCGGGCAAAATGTATATGCAGACAGTTTGGTGTGGCCACACGGCAGTCGGCTGCTTTTTTAAATTTGTGTGGAACAGTAATGGACGATTTCTTTTTCATTTGTAATTATTTTGTGTGATGGGGTTTGTATAAGATGAAGGGGAACGTTTTTTTGGTTTTAAATTTAATCTTCTGTGAATTGCCGCTGCTCGGGCTGCAGTGCAGTCATGAGTTTGAGTGGTCTTTTTCCTGTTGCTTCCGCCATGCGTCTCCGCTGCACATTTTTGTTGTGCGTCTCTCCACACACTCTGCTTCATTCTTTTTTCTACTTCTTTGCTTTGTGTTTCTGCAGGCACACACACAAGATGCACGTTGCAGTGGATTAATGCTCCTTTTGTAGTGCATGCTGGCAGTTGCGTGTGGCGGCTGTTGTTTTTTTCCGTGGCCATGAGGAGAAGGGAGGAGGAGGGAGTGCGCAGCCCGAGTCTCCTTTCCTGCGGGTGTGGAGCACCGCGTGTGACTGCGCTGAGTTGGGCTCCGTGTCCCATTGAGGGCGGGATGGCAGGAAATTTTGTTGCCGCGTCATGGATGGATGAGGGTTTGTTTGCTCCGTGTGGCTGGTGTGGTGGGTGCTCGCTCCGTGTGCGTTGTGTGGTGGCCGCGGGTTTTTGGTTATTTCCCGTTGGCTGTAGAGATGAGCTGGTTGGAGACGGTGGTGGATGTCTTCTCCTCCTGCATGGTGGGTGGCTGCTGGCGTTGTGTGCCTTCCTTGCGTGGATGCCGTCTCGTGGTGTGTGAACTGTGCGGCTGGGCCTGCTGCCTTCTCCTCATGTTGTCTGCTCTCTCTCTCGCTGTATCCGCTGTGCCCCGTCCCTCTCCCTCTTGTTGCATTGTTTTCCCTCTGTCTCACCGATCAGCTGATTGGCTCCAGCGACTTCACTACGAGTGGTGACGATCATTGCGATGATGACGATGGTGGTGACGGCGCCGTGTGGTGTGCGCCGTGTTGGTCATTGCGCTCTTGTGCTGCTTGTCTGAGTGCGTGACGGCTGCTGGGAGTCCTGGAGATGTATCTGGTGCTGCGGATGCGGTGTTTGTGCCGGTGGATGTGTCGTGTGCTCCGAGTGACGGCGGCCTGAGCTATCGCGTGTGTGTGCATGGAGGAATTGTTCTGCTGCCAGTGCTGAGGCTCAGCATGAGCATTATACTTTCAGTGGCTTTGGTGCGCGCATGCATGGCAGGAATGGTGAGCTGGGTGCTGTGTGCCATGTGGCCCATGCGGTGCACACATGTAGCAACTGTGCTGCCAGCTGTGCAGCGAAAGAGGAAGGGGCCACCGCTGCCTTCACGATGAATGTGACGACACATAAATACGCCGGCCCTTATGAATTGTGGTGGCGTCAATTTTCCCCCGATGGAACCATCCATCCGCCTGCACGGAGCGGCGATGCTGACCAGAGAGGCATCTGTCAGTTGCCGCCACCCCGTGAAGGGAAGGATGACACAAAATCTGGTGGGACAACTGCGCCGCAAGTTAATGCTGAGCCGTCACGTCAACACGAGGATTAGCGACAGTCTGCGGCGGCTGACGGACCGAACACCGTCGATCCGAGTCCCGCATCCAACACGGCGACCAACACGTCCGAGACGAGGCCTGAGTTTGCCAGCAATCCGAACGAAATGATGGTCCCGAATGCATCCAAGAAGAGGCCTTCCTTTGCCAACGGTCCGAGAATATTAGTGGCGCCGAATGCATCGGGGATCATGTCTGTCACTTATGGCGGCAGGGAACACGTTGCTGCAGATAACACGGACGAGGTGAATGAGCGCAACGCCACCGGACACAAATCTCTCGTTTTAGAAAATGGCGTTGCGGGCAGTGGATTTGTTGCTGAGGGTGATGCGGGCGAATTGAGTGAACGCAATGCCTCTGGACACGAAAACCCCAATTACAAAAACTCACCGCGCAGTATTCCGGAAACGGTGTGAGACCCGACGATTGCTTTGCCCTGCTGTACGACGCGAAATTGACACTGCGAGAGTTAACTGTTGACAGCACTGTGCGTGTGTGCGTGTATTGGGTGTTGCTGCTTCTTTTGGGATTGTGTGGAGTTGTGGCGGTATTGTGAGCCGAAGAGTGTGGCATTGCGACTCCTCACGGAGAACATGTGCCGCGTTCCCCGCGTGTTTTCTTTTATTATTTTCATTTTGCTTTGTTTGTTTTTCTTGGAATGATAAGTATCCTTGCTGTTCCTTTATTCAATGGTCGGTTGCTGCACACCGTCACGAGGGACGTGTCTCTCGTCCTTGTTTTTCTTGTTTGTTGCCCACACGCGGTGCCGGCCTCACTGCTGTGCGTCCCACGGACTGCACGAAACGATGATTAGAGGAACAGGTCGGATGTCGCAATGAAGTGTGAGGGATGTTGTGTGGGCTGATGCCGTTTGTGACTCTGTGTGGTGTAGCGACCGTGTCTCCTTTTTTCGTCCACCCTGCGTTGACGGGGAGTTAGTTTGTGCTGAAGGCTACACGCAAGTGACAGGAGTGATGATGATGATAACTGGCCGTGTGCTGCTGGTGTGTGCCCTCTGCGTGCTGTGGTGCGGTGCCGGCGGCAGATGTGACGGGGAGGACACGGCAGTTTCTGGTATAGGTGGTGAATCTCCGCTGGCATCAAAAGGAATTGAAAAGTCTCCACAAGTCACGCAAGACTTAAGACGTGGAGCAGGAGGTCTTAAAGAAGAATTACCTCCCGCACCTTCAGGAGATGAAGATGAAGATGATGAAGACGATGATGATGATGATGATGATGAAGGTGCAGGGGCGGAAGATGAAGAAGAAAAACCAATAGGAAAGCAGAGTGTTCAAGGAGGAACAGTTTTAATAGGCTCAGGTTCCAGGCACAAGAATTTAATTGGTACCGAGCAGCAAAAAGGCCAGTCAATTGCACCTGCAGAGGACATTTCTCTTTTCGGCAGTCAGGAATCAAATGCCAATCCTACGCAAACGGAAGTTGAAGAAAAGAATGAGACTGACGAAAATACACCTGCAGTAGAGAACGCACTCACAACAGGTAACGGAGAGAACACACTGCCTGGGGGCATTGCGGGAGGAAATCCTTCACCAGCTCACGAAGAAGGTGTTGATTCCCGCGAACAGGATGGCGAAGACACCACGAGTGAGGGTAAAAAAAATGTTCCGTCGCCTGAGACCGCAGCCACACCACAAAGCCACCGAAACAAAGGCTCAGAAGGGACTGAGGAAGACACAAAAGCAACAACAGTAACCGCCAACACAACTGATACGACGAATACACAAAACAGTGACGGCGGCACCGCGGTCTCCCACACCACCTCCCCTCTTTTGCTTCTTCTTCTTGTTGCGTGTGCGGCTGCTGCTGCGGTGGTGGCCGCGTGAGAGTGAGTGAGAGAGAGCCGTGCACCGCCCGCACACACACTCGTCTTTCACCCACTCTCTGTGTGTGTCCCCTTGCATGGACTCTCGCCCTCACCTCATCCCACGAAGCACACACATAATGTGCCCATTGTATATATGCATGCACACCCATGCAGGCCCGTTGGTGCTCTCTTTTGCACGACACGCACCGCTGCCGTCCTGCCTGGCTGCATGGGCGGAGCACCGTAACTGTTTCTGTTTTGTTTTTATTGCATTGAGTGGGCGACCTCTCTCTCTCTCTCTCCCTGTGTGTGTGTTTTGCTTTACGGGAGCAATGAGAGTGTGTGCGCTGGTCGTCCCACGCGTTGACTTCTTGCTTTATTGTTTTATTGCTTTGTGGTTGCGCACTTACACTCCGCCTTTTTGATCGGCGGCATGTTTTGACTGCGATCACTTTAATCCTCCCTTGTTATTCCCATATTGTTTTTCTTGTTGCTGAGGAAGGTTTCAGCCTCTCGTAATCTTGCCAAGCCACTCAGTGTTTCTTTCCGCGTGTGCCATGCGCCATTTTATCCACGTTCCCCGCGGCCAGCAGCGCTGCTTCTTCTGCTTGTGATGATGTTTGTGATGTGATTTGCCATTTGGTGCTTTTGTTTTACCTTGACGTATCCTTTTTCTTTTGACGCCGCGATACGTCCGACGGCGCGTGGTTGATTTTCCTGATGGTGAGGGACATGCCTCTCAGAGCGCAGGATGCGTCGCGGGCGGACAGCGGCTTTGGGAAGGACCGACGAGTGGCAGTCCGCATCAATGTGTCAACAAGGGAATTGGATGACAGCAGGGGGGCACTGCGGCTTCTTTTGGCGTTGCACAGTGAATTCTTTGGACGGCGCGTTTGACTGTAAGGATAGTGTTCTATCCTCTGCACGGTAATATCCTTGACGAGGAAGCTATCCCTGCTGCTGTGTAACTGCATGCGGATCGTCTGCTCGTCCGGCTACTGGAGGGTCTGTTGATTGTGTCCCCACTTGCCACGGGCAGCGTTTGCAGTCGGTTCACGGTGCCTGACGAGCATCGTTCCGCTGGTGTTGCCGATTCTGTCATGGTGCTGTCCGTGGCTGCGGCGATTGGTGGTGTGTGGGAACTGCTTTGCGCCACGCTGGAGGATGGCCGTCCAGTCGCTGGCGCCATGCACTTTGCCCGGCCGTCTTATTTCATGGACGCATCGCCGCGCACCTGTTGGCCCATGCTGTCGGGTTCAACTGCCCGCACATGGCCAGCCGGAGCATGGTGAGGAATGCTATTGGTGTGCGTGGCAGAGCGCTGTCGGTGGTGGATTCGACGAATGCCGCGATGGCAGCGAGGGAGCACCACGACTGCGACGACATTGATGACATGGAGCTGCAGGATAACGATGTTGACGGGAGGACGCTGGAGTCGCACTGGTCGCGGCGCCACACGAGGGATGAGTGGATGACACCGATTGGGGGTGCCGGCGACTGCAGAGGAAGTGCTCCGCACCGAACATGAGTGAATATTGCTACATGCTCTGCGACGTGGGTGTCCCTGTCAAACGCTGCGTGTCGGATCGGTATTCCAGCGGTTGGTATCTGCGGAGCATCCATGAAATGTCAGCAAAAAACTCGATGGGCCGCTGCGCCATCACTGAACCCGCACTGGATGTGAGGGGTATTGAGGGTGTTATTTGGGAGGGGAGAATATTTGTCTGCGATGCCCGGGGATGAGCCCTCTTCGTGGTGTCTGGACACGCTTCCCACCAACACGACGGATGCGAGGAACCCGGAGGAGACACATCTCAGTGCTGCCATGCATGCGGCATTGAGGTACCTCGGCATGAAGGTGCATCTGGAAGTGGCTGAAAAGGGTAACGTCCGTTGAGCCCATGCACGGACGTGGCGACGATTGCGTGGGCCACTCGACCGTACGATGAGGGACCGTTATTTGCCGTGACCACGCGCAGGTGTGCACGATATCCGCCACCAGCGGTAGCCTACTTCCAGTGGTTCCGTGGGACGGCGAGGAGAGGGCATGTGGAGCAGGACGGTTTCACCGGCATCTACTGAACAAGGATTGCCAGGGGCATCCGTCCCCGTTGCGGAGAGCATTGAGACCGGCCGCGGAAAACCATCAAGGGACGTAGACACGGCTGCTCCCCAGAAGCATCCGTTGGCAGAGGAGAAGGAAGTCACCCCCGATGCCACGACGGCAACGGAGTGATCTTGCCCAGCGGCACCGCGGGTGCGCCGCAGGAGGCGGAGAAGATGAGCGATGTTCCGGACAACGACGATGTGGCCCCCGATGGTGTGACGTCTGTGGTGGGACAATCCAACAGGAGATGAGGCCGTGAACAAGAAGGCCGGTGGCGGTGCCGCAGCCACGGGACCCAAGAGCCCTGATGCCGCTGATGACGCGCAAGGTGCCGTGGACCCTCCGCCGAGGGAGGATGACGCAGCGGTGGGGCGCGGGGGTTGGGAGGCAGACATGAAGTACGCCTCGCCTTCGATCCACGGCAATAACACTGCTGCTGCTGCTTGTCCCTGTCCGCTGCTTCTTCTACTTGCCGCTGCCGCCGCCGTGGCAACACTCTATTGGGTGGATGCATGGATGCCGCTGCACGACGAGGCGACTGCGGTTGAGTCCTGCGTGGCCCGCACTCAGCAGTGGTTGCAAGAGAGAAAAGCCTATATCAATTGGCATTTTCCTCTCAGTATATACATTTATATGCTCTGCTTGTCTGTATACTTTTTACCAGGGATATGCTGTATACATTCTTTCCCTTTTGTGTTGGTTGTTAATGTGGCGGCACAACGCGTGTTTTTAATGGGTTTTGGGATAACAATTTGTTTGACTTTTTCTGAAGGATACTGTGGTGTGTTTGTGTGCGTGTGCGAGGGGTCTGTGTGGTTTTGATTTTTTATTTTTATTTATTTGCTTCGGCATTGTGTAATGATACTTCGCTTCTCCCATTATGTGTGTTTTGGTGTGTGCGGTAAATGAATTGTGTGGAATAGCAAAACATTGCTGCATGGCGTCTTGCTGTCCTGTGGTGTGCTTGCTGTTGCGGTGGCATAGTGTGGTGCTCGTTGTATTACTCCTGTTGCGTTCGTTTCTGAAGTGTTGCTAGGGCACCGGGGGTGGATGCCTGTGGACGCACACCGTGCATTATGCGTGGCATCGGTGGGAGGGGAGACTGACATAGTTGGCGGGATTCAGTAAGCCGCATTTTTGTCCACGGACCCTGCAGCCGCAGCAGTCCGAGTGGCGCTTTGCATATGGGCGTGTGGATTGGTTTCATTTTGCGAGGCTTTTTTTACTGCTTGTCATTTTCCGCTCGGATACCGTGCCCGTGGCAGCTGCATTGGCATAAAAAGAGCCGTGTGTGTGTGGAGAGTCCTTGATTGAGTGCCTGCCTTACTTCTCTGTTATGTCAATTGGCTGTTCTGTGTGCCGGCCAAACGATCGACACGACGTGCTGCCGACGGAGGGGTCCGCGTGACATGATGTTGCGTCGCGTGCTTTGTTGCGGGTGCGTAATTTCAGCAACGGTCGTTGGGCGGTTGCCTGTTGGGTTGTTGAGGGTGGCGTGGCGACGGGTGCGGATGGACCCGATTTTGTGCTGTGGCTGTTCGTGTGGGGGAGCCGCGGGAAGGAGGAAGGCGGCGGAGCGATGGACTCCCGAGGAGTGCGGGGCGAGCAGCCATGAAGGTTGGCGACAGGGTATTCACTGCCCTGTGAGTTGCCGTGTGTGGTGTTTATTATTATTATTATTATTATTATTATTATTATTATTATTATTATTATTATTATTATTATTATTATTATTATTATTTGATTGTTGGATGTGGCCGCCGTGGGTGAAAGCTTTTTTTTGTGTGTATTTTTTTCACGCCGGTTTGGCATCCTTTTCTGCGCCGTCATCTCTGTGTTCCTGCCGCACCGTGGCGTCTTCTTTCTCTTCCATTAGGGGCAGCTGCGTGTGGGTTTTACATGCCATGGAGTTGTGCGCCGTGCTGTCCGGTGTTTTATTGTTGCTTGTTATTCCTGCATGCACGCGCCTCCCATGCTCATGACAACAACCCTCATGTAATCACCACTCCATTTCCATGCTGCTGATGCGTTTGTGTGTTCTTCTCATCCTCCTCTCTTTGCCCCTCTCTAGACTGTGTGTGCAGTCTTGATGATGATGGTGACTGGCCGCCTGCTGTTGCTATGTGCCCTCTGTGTGCTGTGTTGCGGTGTCTGCGGTGGTGGATGTTCTGAAGCAGCTCCAGAATCTCCGGGTACTGGTGTGTCTGGTGACGGCAATAATCCTGAAGGTAAAAACAACACAACTGATGGCGTTGGAGGAGGTGGCCCAACCGCTCCACCGGCAGCGTCACAAGCAGCAGCAGGATCGGTGCCCGTACCAGGAACGGAAGAGGAATCGGAACTACAACCCGCAGCAAAGGCATCAGGAACGGCAGAAGAAACGACGGAAAAAGAAGATGAAGCTGATAATGAATTGAAGGGGAAGATGAGAGAAGGGAAGTGGAAGTGGAAGTAGAGGAGGAAGTGGAAGTGGAAGTGGAATTGGATGATGGCAAGGAGAAAAAAGAAGAGACGGAGGAAGAGAAAAAGCAAGAAGAAAAAGATGATACCGGCGCTACAGAGAGGATTTCAGAAGGCGGTCAGGAAGAGCCAATTTTATCTTCTCGTGTGGAGGAAGCATCGAATAAAACAAAACCCCAAAGCACTCAAACAACTGGCGACAAAGATCCAGCAGCTGATGGTGCAGTGACGCAAGAAGAAAAACAAAATGAAAATAAAGAAGCCAATCCGAAGGAAACACCAGTCGAAGCCACAGTAATGAAAACCACGACGGCGACGACTGGCGACAGTGACGGCAGCACTGTTTCCCACACCACCTCTCCTCTTTTGCTTCTTCTTCTTGTTGCGTGTGCGGCTGCGGCTGCGGTGGTGGCCGCGTGAGAGTGAGGGAGAGAGAGCCGTGCAGCGCCCACACACACACTCGTATTTTACTCACTCTCTCTGTGTGTTTCCTTGCATGCACTCTCGCCCTCACCTCACCCCACGAAGCACACACATAGTGTGCCCATTGTATATATTGCATGCACACCCATGCATGCCCGTTGGTGCTCTCTTTTGCACGACACGCACCGCTGCCGTCCTGCCTGGCTGCATGGGCGGAGCACCGTAACTGTTTCTGTTTTGTTTTTATTGCATTGAGTGGGCGACCTCTCTCTCTCTCCCTGTGTGTGTGTTTTGCTTTACGGGAGCAATGAGAGTGTGTGCGCTGGTCGTCCCACGCTTCGGCTTTTTGTTTTGTTTTTCATTGTTTTGTGGTTGAGAGCACCCATTCCGCGGGCTGCGTGTGTGTGTTTGTGTGTGATGATATGAGTAATTTTTGCGTGTGTTCTATCTGCCTCTCTCTGCCGTTGCTTTCTTCTGACTCTCTTGTGGCGCACAGCTGCTCTGCAATTATAGGCGCTGCCAAACACACAAGCACATGCACACACATGCCGTGTTTAAAACGCTGAGAATGCACGCACGCACAGGATTGTGGCTGCGGAGGCCCTCGCGAGGGGCGAAGAAGCCTGCGTTTTGTTTTTTTGACATGTTGCTCGGTGTGTGCTGACGCGTGACGAATAATAACACGCCCCAATAAGCAGAAAAGAAGTAAAACAAAATGGCGCTGAGCGGCATACCGGTAAGCCAAAAATACGCAATCACCAATAAAAAAGCCGGCGATCACCCAGCAGGCACATCAAGCCTCCTAAAACCAACCTGGAATAGACAAAAAAGGGGGGGGGGGCAATCATGGAAAACAAAGATCCGCCCCCCCCAAACAGGAAAAGCATTAAAAAAAAACGCGATCCTGTTTTTTGTCCTTACTGCCGGGGTTGGCCGCCGCAAGGAATAAAAAAGAGTAGGGCGGTGGCCCCGGACGAGAGATACATGACGACGTGTCGAATTATCCAAGTTGCGGCGGTCCGCCCCGGACGAGAGATACATGACGACGAATCGAGGTATCCACGCTGCGGCTGCGCACCCTAAACATGTCGCTTTCGTTTTCCAGGGGACAACGCAAATGTGCTCGATTGTTCGAAGATCGAAATTAACACCTTACGTGAAAATGGGTCGCGCGACCACATTTTTTTTAGCTCAGTGGCAAACAAGCTCACAATGTCATCCGGGGCGCGGGTTCGAGCCCCGAAGAAGCCTAAGTTTTTTTCCTTTTTTTTTTGGAATTCTTGTTTCTTATTGCTTTTTAAACTTCTGGTTTGCAGGACGGTGTGCGAGTTCTGCAATCGCACTGATTCCATCAGTTTCGTGGTATGTGCGGCTGCTGCTGCGGTGGTGGCCGCGTGAGAGTGAGTGAGAGAGCGCCATGCACCGCCCGCACACACACTCGTCTTTCACCCACTCTCTGTGTGTGTCCCCTTGCATGGACTCTCGCCCTCACCTCATCCCACGAAGCACACACATAATGTGCCCATTGTATATATTGCATGCACACCCATGCAGGCCCGTTGGTGCTCTCTTTTGCACGACACGCACCGCTGCCGTCCTGCCTGGCTGCATGGGCGGAGCACCGTAACTGTTTCTGTTTTGTTTTTATTGCCTTGAGTGGGCGACCTCTCACTCTCTCTCTCCCCCTGTGTGTGTGTTTTGCTTTACGGGAGCAATGAGAGTGTGTGCGCTGGTCGTCACACGCTTCGGTTTCTTGTTTTCTTCTTTTATTGTTTTACTTGTGTTGTGGTTGAGAGCACCCATTCCGCGGGCTGCGTGTGTGTGTTTGTGTGTGATGATATGAGTAATTTTTGCGTGTGTTCTATCTGCCTCTCTCTGCCGTTGCTTTCTTCTGACTCTCTTGTGGCGCACAGCTGTTCTGCAATTATAGGCGCTGCCAAACACACAAGCACATGCACACACATGCCGTGTTTAAAACGCTGAGAATGCACGCACGCACAGGATTGTGGCTGCGGAGGCCCTCGCGAGGGGCGAAGAAGCCTGCGTTTTGTTTTTTTGACATGTTGCTCGGTGTGTGCTGACGCGTGGCAGAATCACCCGCCTTGGCTCCTGCTGCTGCTGGCGGCAGTCGCTGTGTGTTCCCGGTGCAGTGATCTTTCTTCTGCTGTTCTTTTTGTTTGTGTGCGTGAGTTGTTGTTGTTGGGAGTGACTGCGGCGGGGATGATGGTGACAGTCACTGCGGGTGAGGGTGTTCACTGTTTTATCCTCTTTTTTGTTATTGGCATGATTTCTTCATTTCTCTCACACTCTTACGAAGAAAGCAAACGAGCGCTAAACGCTACTGTGAAATTCGAAGGGTTTGAAGGGACCAACAACAGCACACACACCGCCCACACATACATATATTTATATGCTCTCACGTGTTGCTGCAGTGAAGGCACCCCGCACACACAACCGTCGCCGCGTGACCGGATCCAGCGGCAGGAGGAGGGAAGGAAGAGAGAGTGAGCCGCAGAGACCCAACATGTCCCGGCGTGTGTTTACTTCCGCGGTGCTGCTCCTCCTCGTCTTGATGATGTGCAGCGGCAGTGGTGTGGTTGCTGAAGCTGTTGAACCATCGTCAGGTCAGCAATCTCTACCGAAGTCACATTTTGTTTGGAGAGATACAACAGGTGATGAAAAATTGGGTTCGCTCCGTGTTCCCAGTCTTGTTGAGGTGAATGGTGACGTGTTTGCCGTTGCCGAGGCGCAGTGCACGAAGGGTGAAAACAGCTTTACTGGGATTGCCTCGAAGTTCCTGACGTTGACTGACGAACCATCAAAAGAATTGGATAAGAGTAACTTGAAGACACAAGTATTGGTGGAATGTTCTGCCAATAAAGAAGGAAAATGTCCTGCCGGTAACGAAGAGAAATGCGCCTGCCGTGTGGCGGATCAGGTATCTGGTTCTCCGAACGAGAGGGAAGTAGATGTGAGCCGACCAACAACAGTTGTGAAGGAAAGTGCTATTTACATGCTTGTTGGAAAAAACAGCCGGACAGCTGTCAATGATGCTGGGAACAGTGGTGCAGATGAATTGGGAGTATTGCTGGTGAAGGGTGAGGTCGTTGGTGGAACCGGCAACAATCAAATCCATTGGAAGGAAACTGACGGTGTACCGTGCACTCTAGGCGACCAACACAACTTCTTGGAGCGGCTGATTGGCGGCGGTGGATCGGGTGTTAAGTTGAACGACGGTACACTTTTGTTTCCCATGGAAGGCATAAAGAAGGAAAGGGAGGGCACTGGAATGGATGGAAAGGCCGTTTCGCTGATCCTATACTCCTCGGATACTAAGAGTTGTACACTGTCGAAGGAGGTGCCTGACGGTGGCTGCAGTGATCCCTCCGTCGTGGAGTGGAAGGAGGGAAAACTCATGATGATGACTGCGTGTGATGATGGTCGCCGCAGGGTGTACGAGTCCGGTGACAAGGGGGAGTCGTGGACGGAGGCGCTCGGGACACTCTCGCGCGTGTGGGGCAACAGAAAGGGAAAAGAGAGGGGCGTTGGAAGCGGTTTCATCACAGCGACGATTGAGAAAAGGGACGTGATGCTCGTTACTCTGCCGGTGTATGCCAAAGAAAATGAAAAGGGTGAACTCCATCTTTGGCTGACGGACAATACGCACATTGTTGATATTGGGCCGGTATCCGAGGAAGATGACGTTGCCGCCAGCTCCCTGCTGTACAAAAGTGCTGGAAGTGGAAATAATAATGAGGAGAATAAGGAGGAGTTGATTGCACTGTACGAGAAGAAGAAGGGCGGTGGAGAATCATCAAACAGCCTTTGTTCTGTGCGTCTGACTGCGCAGCTGGAGCGGGTGAAGGATGTGCTGACGACCTGGAAGGAAGTGGACGAACGTGTCTCCCAGCTCTGCCTCACTTCAACTGCTGCGAAGAATCCCTCAACTGGCACTGCCTGCAGCGGTGGTACGAGCACGGATGGGCTGGTTGGCTTTTTGTCCGGCGACTTCTCTGGTAACACATGGAAGGACGAGTACCTCGGGGTGAACGCCACAGTAACGAAGGAAGAAGGGGTGGAGAAAAAGGATAATGGCGTAACATTTAAAGGGCGTGGTGCGTGGGCGGAGTGGCCTGTTGGCAATCAGGGGGAGAATCAGCTGTACCACTTTGCGAACTACAACTTCACTCTTGTGGCGACGGTGTCCGTCCACGGTGTGCCGAAGGGAGATACCGTTCCATTGATGGGTGCGACGATGAATGATGGCGATAAGAAGACTGTACTCTTGGGACTGTCGTACAACAACAAAGAGAAGAAGTGGATATTATTGTGCAGTGGCAAAACGACCACAGAATACAGCAGTAATTGGGAGCCAGGGACAACTTACCAGGTGGCCATTGTGCTACAGAACGGAAAACAGGGCTCCGCGTACGTCGATGGTCAGCGTGTGGGGAATGAAGAATGTGCATTGGGAGAAGCAGAATCGAAAGAGATCTCACACTTCTTCATTGGAGGGGATGTAGGCAGCGCAGAGGGCCAAGAAGACTTGTCTGTGACCGTGTCGAATGTCCTGCTGTACAACCGCCCGTTGAGTTCCGAAGAGATTGCAGGGCTTGCCAAAAATACAATTACTATTCCGAAGCCGGAGGGTCCGAAGACATTGGTGGTGGTTACTCAATCACCAGCGGTAAGCGCAGCAGATGTGCAGGGAACCGTGACCCATTCCAATTCTGCCGGGCAACGGCCGTTGGAAGAGGAACCGTTGACGGCGAATATTGGTGCTGGCGTTGTATCCAGTGCACCTTCCATTGCTACGACTCCCTCGTCTGATGTTGCTCAAATGGTGGCGACAGGGGGTGGAGATACGATGCGGGAAAATGGATCACCCCAAACCCCTGAGGTGAGCGTGAGCTCTGGTGAGGATGGGGAGACGGTGGAAGGAACGGGTGGGCAGGAGGAGGAGCAGATCCATCCACAGGACAGGGACGTGAATGCTACGGCCCTCAGCAGCAGTTTGGGAAATTTGTCGCAGGGGAATAACAGCGATGCCGGCACTGTGCGTGAGAGGAGGGCGCTGCCGCTGCTTCTTCTGCTGTTGGGACTGTGGGGGTTTGCCGCTCTGTGAGGGGTGACTGGCAGCCGCGTGGGGCAATCGCGACCTCCCCTGCACAGAATTGCGTCCAAGAACCAATTTTTGCCCTTCAAATAATTTTTCATTTTTTGCTTATTTTAAATTTAATTTCCTGTTTGCTACTTTCTTGTTTTTTTTTTCTTTTTGTTTTGTGTGCGTGATTTTTAAGCTTTTTTTTTTTTGCTTTCTTTTTCTTTTTTTAAATGTTTTCGTGTTTTTTTATATTTCTGTTTTGTTGTTTTAATTTTTTACTCCCATCCCTTCTTTCTTTTGCTTTTGGGGGCAATCACTGTGGAGGTTCTTTGTTTCTTTTCTATTCCCCCCTTTTAAATTGTTTCTTGCCGCACTCTTCCTGTGAGGGGTGCCGTGTGTTTCCCGCCCAACTGCTCCACTCGCACACCCACCGACACGCTCATGACGACGGCCCTGTGCGCCTCGCCTGCTGCACGCATGAGGAGGGGCGGCGACGAACGGCGCGCTGAGGGAGCCGTGAAGTGTGGGCGTGCGACGAGTGCCTGTGGGGCGGAACACACATTTCTTTCCCTCTTGTTTTGTTTTTTTTGCGGCCAGGGCTGGCAGACACCCGCAGCGCCACACACACAGCCACATTCTGCCGCCGTGTCTTTTTTTTTTTTGTTTTCTTCTTTTTATTTTTGTGGCTGTGTGTGCTGCCACCGTGTGTGATTGTTGAGGTTGGGCCGTACCGCATGCATCGCTGCCATCCACCTGTGCCTCTTGCTGTGCTGATGTGCCTCCCTGTAATTCTCCTCTTTCCCGCTCCTGCAGCACACAACCACACACACAGTCATAATTATTTGCACAGTGCACTGAAAGAATTTGTTGGCGACGGATGGAAGCCTTTTTGCATTCCGCTTGGGGCCGGCTGACGCGGCTGCACGATGCCCGCCATGCGTGAGGGCGCTGCCTGCTCTTGGGGTCATTCTTCTCTTCCCCTCTGTATTTGCGTTGCTCGGCGCGTGCGCTGGTTGGTGTGTGCTGGCGCGTGACGGACGGTGCCATGATGGCCTCCTTTGACGATGACAGTCGCTGTACTCTCGGCACACATCCACACACTCTTCTTGTCTCTCTGTGGGAGTGATTGCAGCAGCAGCGTGGTCTACGGCAGCGGCAGCTGGTGCCTTGCAGAGAACGAGACGCCGAGGAACAAGAGGGCGAACCTGCTGGACGCGATTACGATGGCGGATGAAAGCTGTTTTGTTGCCTTTGCTTCGTACATTGCTAAGAATGCGCCGTGTCGCTTCCTGACGGGATGCCTGCACTTGGCACCCTTCGAGGCATTGCGTTCTTTCATTTATTGTGATGCCACAATTATCATGGCAGCATCTTTCCTCAACGGCTCTGATTGTGACAATACGAATGACGGCAAATAGAGCGATGAGGATTATGGGTGACGACTTGCACCGAGGGGCGGATGATTTGCGTGTCTTGGCACACGAATCCCAGGAGGGTTTGAATGCCGTCCCCACAATTCCCGGCATTGCGGAACCGTTGGCTTTCGCGCTGTCACCCGCCGTAATTAGTGCCCCATGCGTTGAGGCTGATCCATTTACCGTGGAGTTCACGCAGCAGCTCTCGAGTGGCTGTGCTGCTGGTCCTGCGTTGGCCCTTTCGCATGTATCTCAGCGTTGCCTGGCGTGTGATTTGATGTCTGTGTTGTCCAGGCCGCCGCCTCCAGTTTTCTTTTTGTGCCCAATAAGAAACACTTTGCGTTGCGGTGGATATTTATTTGCGTGGCCGTCGACGCACGTGACGATGCTCAACGGGTGTGTCTTTTGTTTGGCAGGCACGAGGGAGACTTCGGTGTGTGCCGACGCCTCCGCGAAAGTCTTCGTTGACGGATGGAGGCGAAAATAAGGGAGGTCTGTCCTCTGCATCTCTCAAGGCAGCTGCGGGGCACTCCAGACGCACAGAGTGAATGGATGGATGCCGCGCAGCTGGGGAGACCAGTTTTCTTCTCCGCCCTCCGTTGCCGGGGGAATCGAGAATCCACAGCGTCACTGCCAGCTGCATTTTACTGCTGGGGATCGACTGTGCTGAAGTTGCCCGTCTAATGTGAATTGCAGCGTCAGAGCAGGAAGACGCTTTCACGCATTGCGAGTAGTTGCTCCAGCCTCGAGCTCATCAATATTTACGGCAGGGAGCAATGCATCTTGGTGGCCGGTGACGTTCAGACGAGTTTGTTTCACTTCAGCCGCCTCGTATTTGTGGGGGACACTCCGCATCGACCCTCCCCAACAGTCCCATCACCTTCACTTTCCCCCGCCGACCGCTGCCATCTGCTGACGGTACAGTTTTTTGGCTCCACCAATAATGCGCTCGTGAAACGTCCTCTCCGCACTCTGCAGGATTATTGCCGTGGAGGAGTTGATGGCATATGGTGCGGGTGTGGCGTCGACGGAGTCATCCACGCATTGTCTTAGAAACATGAATTTGAGTTGTGTCAGTCACGCCGTGTTTCCTTTTTCTTGCTGGGAGTCTTGTGGGTGTGTTTGAGCCCTTTTAGGAGCCTGTTTAGAGAATGATCGCGGGAGAGCTGGCTGCCTTAATGAATGTATATATATATATATACACCCTGATAGAACGAATATACACTTCTTTAGGACACTTTTCTACCGTATGAGTTTTGGGAAGGCCACGACTTTAGGGAGCCGACAGCGGCCGGATAATTTTTTATTTTTATTTTAATCATCGCACCCACCCCCTTTTGTTTCCCACCACGCGGCGGGGTCTTGTGGCTGCAGGACCCCAAAAGTCTGCCACCTCGTAAGTAATAAATAAATATATGTATCCTATCCGAATAGAGTGGGCGGGCCACGATTGTGGCTAACGGATGGTATATATATAAACACATACAGTTACCTGGTGTTAAACTTTGAGGATGTGGTGAATCCACTCTTATTCTGTTGATCCCTCACTTATTTCTATCTTGTTTGGTTTCTATTATTGAGAAACTCAGGATTCGGCCAGCGGCTCAGAAGATTATTCTTTATTGTAACACCTTATCAAAGGGAAGCAGAAACAACACAAACCGAATTATTGGCTGCACCCACACAAGAAACATTCACAAGAGGACAGAAACAAATTGTGCACCCTGCAGGAAATCCCCAACACACGATCCAGGCATGGGGGTTTGCCCTTCGCAAAAACAAAACAACGCATGCAGACATCTGCCAACATCCAAACAGTAACACAAATAAATAGTTGCTTGCATTATGCCATCCCTTGCGCTTATTTTTGAGTGCGCGGCTGCTGCTGCGGTGGTGGCCAGGCCTGCATGAAGTGGTGTGCGCTGAATGTGAACGAGGGCTAAAGGCAACTGAATTGTTTTTGTGATGAATATTGACTGCACTTCCCGTGGACCAACAATCCACGTGGTGTGCGGGGATCTCTCCCTTTTAATTGTTACTTTGCTTTTGTGTTGCTGTGTGCGCTGCATCTTCTTTTGTGTGTGTGCGTACCCTCCGTGAGGGGTGCAGAAACGACGGACCGCTCTCGCCGTATGTGCATGCGGTGGAGCCTTGTGTGCCGCTCCTGTTTGCTTCTCCCTCCTCCACCTGTGTGTTGCTGTTGCGGCAGGGCTGTGTGTGTGTGTGTGTGCCTGCTGCCGTGGATTGGAGTGTGTGTCGTGCGTGGTGTGCGGCGTACGGTGCATGCCTGGCTGCTGCCCTCTTCTCATGTGGTGTGCCCTCTGTGTGTGTCTGCCGCACCTCTCGTCTCCCCTGTTGCTCTCCATGTCCCTCACTGTGCAGATCAGCTCCACACCACTGAACGACCACACTCACGATGATGATGACGTGCCGTCTGCTGTGCGCCCTGTTGGTGCTTGCCCTGTGCTGCTGCCCGTCCGTGTGTGCTGCGCTGGATACGCCTGAAGAGCCTCCCAATACAACTACGACGAATTACATCACAGGCACCTGACCCTACGAAGACTTTGCTTGGAGATGATGTAAGGACCACCAGTCTATCGCTTTCTTTGCCACGGTCGCCAAGTAAGGAGTCCGTTGTGGAACGCGGAAAAACTGTGGGAGGGGGAGAAGGTTTCACCGGTCAAGAAGCGCCAACAGATACGGAAGATCCGAAAGAAGTTAAGAAAGGCACGACTGGGCCAATACGTGGCAACAACCCACCCGCAAAACAAACAAATGAGGAGTCTGAAGCTTCCGCTCAGACAACGACAACGACGACTACAACACAGTCACCAACCACGACGACGACCACCACCACTACAACACATGCACCAACCACTACGACTACTACAGTGGCGCCAGCTGTGTCGACCACCCGCGCACCGTCACGTCTTCGCGAAATCGACGGCAGCCTCAGCAGCTCTGCGTGGGTGTGTGCCCCGCTGGTGCTCGCCGCATCCGCGCTGGCGTACACCGTTCTGGGCTGAAGAGGTGTGTGCGGGCTGTGCGTGCCAGCACCCAACCGCGGGGTTTGCGCGCGTGTGTTGTGGTCCACTGTATAAAATAAGAGAAAATAATGATTGTGTTTTGCTTCACTTGCTTCTGCTGCCGTGCTGTGTGCTCCGCGTTGTGCACCGCATCCGCCACGTTGAACGCATCGCGGACACACTCATATGCATGCGCACTGGAGCTCTGGTTTGTTTTTCTCTTTTTTAATTTCTGTTTTTTAATTATTGTTTTTTATTGCTTTTTAAACTTGTGGTTTGCGGGGCGGTCTGCGAGCTCTGCAATCGTACTGATTCCATCTGTCTCGTGGTGTGTGCGCTGCTGCTGCTGGGGTGCTGCCATTTGTTGCTGTGCGTGGTGTAGCGGCTGTGTTTCCTTTTTGCTTTCACATGTTATCGCAGGTTGGCTCCGCAGCGTTAGGCGACTCCACTGTTTGTGATGATGACTGGCCGTGAGCTCTGCGTCCTGTTGGCTCCTGCAGTGATGCGCAGCTGCTCGTGCGTGTGAGTGACGGGGTGCGTGTGCGGCCGCGGGTGATGGCGCGGTGACTGCTGGCCACGC